CTGAATCAAGTACATCATCAGTAGTTAGAAGGATGGAAAAACATAGTATCCAATCTCAAGATTTGCTAGAAATTATAAAAGAAGATATGTCGGATATAGATGATAATAGAGACGGTGAAGATAATTGTCCAATAGACCAAAGCACTATCCCTTCAGAAAAAGAATCCTGCAAAAGACCTAGCGAAGATACCACTAAAAATAAATCATTCAGTAAAAAACCAAAACAGAATAAAGAAAAAGGCGATAAAAAAGATTCTAATACTGTAAAAAAACTTATTATAGAATTAACATCCAACACCTCTGAACAAAATAAAATAACTTCTTACCAAGTAATAGTTACTGAAGATGACCCACAACCTATCGATTTTCTAAATTTATATACTAAAATTACCTCTGCTAAAAGTGAAAGTCAAAAACAAAGTCAGAAAGTAATTTTTCAATACTATAACTTCGGGATGGCCATAGCAAAACGCTTTAAGTTTTATTATGAAAAATCTTATAATGTAAATGATGCTAATAGTGATGTAAACAAAGAAATTGAAAAACAACTTCCCAATGGTACTCCTGAAACTACTATTCGAAAAAGAAAAAAAAGAGCCCAAAAGATTTTTCACCTATTTAGTAAGGTAGGAACAGATAAGATAGAACGAGTAGAATCTTTTAGTGCATTAACAATTGCCAAATTAACCATTGATCAAATTAACTATGTAATATCTCAAATTCCTGATAAACCCCCAACAGAATCAATCGTATAAGTCACGTGGACGTGATCTCGAAGGTCACACTCACGTGATTACTACGGCATATATTAAATTTAATGTAATAATTTTCAGTCCATGTACGTAAAGTTTTGCGTTCTATATAAAAAATGAAATTAGTTATATGGTACAAAAATGTTTATATTGATATATAAAAAAATTCTCTATGTATAAATAATCCCGGCTTATGCATAAATTATTTGTGGGTGAGGGTGCAATTGCCACATATTATTGACCACATTATATTTTTTCTGTTAACGTATAACAATGAAAAAATATCCAAATAACATACTCATACATAAAGATAAACAAAATTATATCGAGAAGTGGCATATCTTTAGAGGGTGGAAGCATGGGTGTAAGGTTTGTGACGAATGCAATCACCATTCACACCTGTATTGCAAAACATGCAAAAAGGTGGCGGATGGAATATATAAGCGATGTGAATGCGATAATTCTCGAATAATTACCGTTAAATAAGGGTTAACAATTTAACATGTAACAAAGATATTCATGAATAAATTCCGCATGTAAAATTTATTTGTACCACCTTACAAGGTGTATAACTTATTTGTGAGATGAGGCACCCTAACCTAAATTCGGTCAATCACCTCATGACACATGTTTTTGTTTGTGAACAAAATTTCTTCAAACATATTCTTGTTATTCGAATTGTCAGAATGAGATCAAAGAAAGAAAATGTGAAGCCGTTTAAAAAGAGCAATATTATGAAATTAGAATCGTTTCTCGATTTACCTTATTTTTTTAGCACTAAGTTTTATCAGTATGTGTTGTTTTACAATCGCAAAGTAGAGTAATTTGTACGTAATATCTACCTTTTATGGTAATTCCAGATGATTTTTTCCAGCATTAGGAATTAACCCGTAACTTTACTCATTTTTAGCATGTGGTCATACAAATTGTTGTTCAAACTGAGTTAAGATATAATAGTATTTTCTTATATACCTACCAACAGACCTGTTCTTTATAACTTAAATTTTACATTTTTTTCATTTTTTTGCGACCTCGTTGTAAACATAAGCCAGTAATTATAAGTTAATTGCTTAATAAATATTAATCTTGACCCATTATTCAAACTAACCTAAATTGGCAGTTGAAAAAAAATGTCCAACGATAGCTCTTATCCGAGTTTCACAAGCTTTGTAATAAAGATGTGGATTCATTTTGAGGATGAATCAGATCCCGTAAAGTTGAAAGCTGATCTATCTCAGGTTGCAGACTTGAACGATCTCAAGGATATTCTCAGGAACGAGTTCAAAGAGTTAAAGGATATCAAAAATCAAAAAATCGTATTCTTAGATAACAATAGCACACCTCTTTCACCAGATACTCGCTTACAAACTCTAGTAGACAGTACAACGGCTAAAGCACCACTTATTGTTCGTTACCCGCTCTCAAATGCAAACAGTATGTGAGGTTTTTATTTTCTTTGTTTTTCCTACTTAAAATAAGTGCTTATTAGTTTCCATCAAGCATAGTTGCAGTGAACTTCAATTATTTGCATTGTTTGGGTAAATATAAGATACCACATACCAGTGGCTCTCTAAGTTTACTAAGAGAAGAAGTCGTAAGAAGGTTTAACGAGTTACAAACGGAAGAATCCATTTCTCAATCTGAGAATTTATCTTCAGTTAATGCATCCAAGTTACCAGCTGATCTTGAAATATATCCATCAAACCATGATCAGAATTCAGAATCGACTATACTTAATAACTCTAATAATGAAGTTATT